CCGTGACCTTGGTTTCTGCATAGCTTTTGAGATAAAAGGTCTAAGTATCAGAATGCGTTTGTTGGACTCCAGTGTTGTTGACTGATTAAAAACAATTCCTGTTCCTCGAACCTCTATGGAATGCTGATTGGGGCTGGCTGGGTGCCCTGTGCAGGAGGGACTCTGGAGGCACCTCTCAAGATGGGTCTTGCTGGCCAAGACTGATTTAGAAAATGTGGTTCAGATCTCCAGGCTTATGTGAGAAGTTCTGCTTCCTACCTCTTGAATCAAGAGAGCCCTTGGCTGAGGTGCCTCCTCAGCTGCCAGGAGATATGTGAAGCAGAGAAAATGAGGCATGGCCAGCTCAGTTCAAGGCCGTAGGCCCTCTGCAAACCTGGGCAAAGGGAAAAGACAAGCATCCTGCTTTGGAGCTGACCTTCTAGCCAGGCTCCCCTATCCCACATAGTAAAATGTGGCCCAGTGAATGTACTGGCCTCTGACCAAAGAGGTAAACAGCTTCTTCTCTCTTGGAGCCAGGGAGGGAACTGAAAATCATCACTTCTGTAGATCCCTCTCAAAATGTGGAGCTTTCGAACCAGAACTGCTAGATTTAACAAACAGAAACATAGGACATCCAGCTAAATTTGAATTTCAGATAGTAAATTTGAATTTTTATAGTATGTCACATGTAATATTTGGGACGTGATTATAATAAAATATTATATGTTGCCTACTTAAAATTCAAAACTAACTGGGCATTCTGTTTTTGTCTGGCAACCCTATTTCCAGCATTTTTTTAAGGTGAGTTTCGTGATAGTGAGACTGAGAGAATCACTTTTGCAACCCTGGCACCATCTACATTTGGGCTGATGCTTCTTTGATGTGGGAGGTTGTCCTGTGTGTTGAAGGATGTTTTGTTGCATTCCTGGCTTCTGTTCACTGGATACCAGTGCCACCTGTCCCTTCTCCACTGTGACAACCAAATATGTTTCCAGACATTGACAGTTGTCTCCTGAGGAAGGCAAAATCACCTCTAATTGGGAACCTCTGCTGTAGTGGTAAAGCAGGATTGTGAAGCTTGTCACCGTGGTAGACCAGAAGTGGCCCTTTTGTCCAAATATGATGCAGGTCCTGTCCCACCTGCATTCCCACCTCCTCCACACACTCTGGGCTCCTTCCCAGTAACGTCAGGAGCTGTCTAGACCTATGGAAGGGAGCCCAATAATACGATTTTAATCCCATGTGGATTATAATCACTAGAAAACCATTCCCTGTTCACTTGCCTTTCTACATAGCTCACATAGGCTCTACATGGCAACTGCTCAGGTTTAGCTCAGACATCCCCAAAGAATACCTAATATGTCACTAAACCAAGTGCGAGCAGCCATCTGGGTGAAGTTAGCATTTAATGGGCAAACCCTTCTAGTCCAACCACCTCACTGAAGTATCAACCCCTTGCCCCATCTGGAAGAAGGAGAAGCTTCAGGCATGACCGTGAATTCTGCTCTCCAAGCCTTTCCACCTACACATTTGTCCTTGAGAAAATGCTACGTGCCTCTATGTGGTATTTCCTGTTTGTAAACTTTCTCTGCCTCAATAGGTTTTCATACTCCCATGGAGAAAACTGAAGTGGCTTTTGCTTTATTACCCTTGATTGTCTGGCATTGATAATTAAGTCTGTAGGCCTATCAGCTTATGTGGTGGGAAAATTTTATTAGCAAGTTAAATGGAATCAGTCTCTTCACTGCTTCCCATATTTTGTAGGCTTTTAGAGAAGCAACGGTTTTATAAAAATCCGTTGAACAAAGCAGACAATGTACCTATCTGGTTATATTGCTGTGGGAAAAATCTCTGTTCTCAATTCTCTATAAAAATTGTGTCTCCTCAAATCTCTCTTATTCAGGGTTTTCCTTAAATAGGATCACTCTTTCCCTAAGAAGCGCACCTTAAAGAAAAACATTATCTTTATTTGTAATCACAGGCCTTCATCATTGCAGAAAAACTGATCCTTCTCAGGCTCTGATATTTGTATTTAATCAATAACCACATTTCTTTTCCATCCGTCTTACCTCTGCAGCGTTTCCCAGCCGCGTATGTTTTATTGTGTAAGAATTCAATTGTAAGAGCCATTCATGTTTGCAAAACGGATGATGTTTTATTATTGGTTATAAAGAAAAGGAATTTCACACTTTCTGCTGTAGCAGGGCGAATTCTGAAATGGGTACAAGTTAACAGACCGTGGAAAGAGAGGCCACAGAAAGATCTTGTCGTATTCTGACCACATCATAAACTAAGACCTAGTGATTTTTATGCCTCTAATTGACAAGCATTCAATTCCCATTTGAAATGCATAAGCTTTGTACAGTTTGAGGGTATGCAGGCTGGAAAGAATAAGGGGAGAGTGGTCAAACTACTCAACAATTCGTATGACCCGATCAATGACTCCGAGGACCATATTATTGGGACAGGATCCCCAAGACCTCCTGCAGGTACAAGTCTTCTGCTCTCAGTGCCTGGCCCGTGAGGAGGTGGGTGGGTGCTTGGAGAGGGGCCAGGCTGGCCGGGGGCGTGGGGCAAGCACTAAGGAGGTTCAAGGTGGCAACTGCTTCTGAGCCAGTTGGTGGTATTTTGATATTTGAACAATTGGAGCAACTGTTCCATGGTGGACCGGCTGCACTGGAACATAGAGAATTGTGGGGTGGTGCACGTAGTTAGAAAATTAACCCCCAGTCGGAGTTCCTGCCACTGCCGTTCACTGGCTGCACGGCCTTGGGGAGTCGGTTCTTGGGGCCTCTCTTTTCTCTTACGGAGAATGAGGAATGGGATAAGAGCGGCGTGAGGTTCCCTTCCTGTCCTAGGAATCGCCCCTCCCCGCAGTGAGCTGCACGTGCTACGCATCTAGAACCGTTCGGGGACTTTTGGCGGGCAGAGGGGCTGGTGTTTCCCAAGGAGCGCGAGGCAGGCCGCGCTCCCAGCTTCGCGAAGACATGACAGTCACACAGCACGGAAGCCAGCAGGAGCCAGAGCAAACAAGGGCTGTTAAATACCTCTACAGGCAGCCTAAAAATATTTTTTAAAGATTAAGAGTTTTCAGTGCTTGGAAGGATTTACTGCAGAGTAGAAAAATGTGTTAGTTTACTATGGAAACCAAATTAATGTTGCTTTTGCTTGAAAATACCTAAGTCAAGCAAAAGCAGGTACTTTGAAGTTTTTTGTGGTTTGCCTAGATTGTGAAAAGTTTCCGTGACTCTCCACCCACTGTTGCGTTCTTCGTTTGGTTATTGAAATATTGTGCTTTTTATATTCAAGGAATATACTGCAGTATCTCCATGGGAATGTGTAAGCACAATTAATGAGCAATGTCACGCCTACGGAAAGCGATATGAGTCCGGCGCAACTTCAACCTAGATGTGCTTTTCCCCAAAATTGTTGTTTTAATTTGGTTGAGTTGAAAATTACTTTCTAATTTATATAAAATCTTTTTAAAAAATGATTTTTAATTGATGTTTTAGAGAGAGGGGAGGGGAGAGGGAGAGAGAGGTAGAAACATGGATGTGAGAAGGGAACATGGATTGGCTGCCTCCTGCACGCCCCCTACTGGGGACTGAGCCAAACCCTGGGCATGTGCCCTGATCAAGATTCAAACCCTCAACCTTTCAGTGCATGGGAGAACATGTCACCAACTGAGCCACACTGGCCAAGGCTATATGAAATCTTTAAAAAAAATTTATAGGTATGAGGAAGTGCTCAACATAATTCTTTATTACTTTAATTATCAGAAGAAGAAAAAAACGGCGGCTTGGAGAGCACATGCTGTGCGGGAGCTCGTGCGGAGTGAGAGCCTGCGCCGGTGCTTCCTTGGAGAGCTCAGCAAATGAACTGGCTCTGTTTTAATATCCTGTTGCCTATTGTGCCTGACAAACAGAAAGGAGGAAAATGGGGAATTGATTATCTGGGGTCATTTTCTTGAAACTTGCTCATAATTCCAATTTATGCTCATTAGATAAAGAAGAGTCTCTCCACAACAAATTAAGAATACACATAAGCGGTTATGACATAGTCACAGACATATAGTAATGCTGTCCAGAGTTATAGGCCTCCTTCCAAGTACATCCTACTCAGAATTCACTGGAGATGTCTTAAAGACATCTCCTGTAATTACAGGAACATGGTTTCTAATTTATTTAATTCCCTTTCCTACCTAAACTGTACATATAAGTGAATTTTAAGAGACTGTATAAATAAATTTTTAATTACAAAATGATGTTATACAATACATTATTAATAATAACCAACAATGCATAATGTTTATGCATGAGTCCATTAGAAAGATGAGCTAATATACGTCAGTTACAAGGAACGCGCTAATTTGTCCTGAATCTGTGAATGAAGCGGAGTTCGTGCGGCAAGTCAACCCGTGCGGGCCGAGGTCAGCGCGCTGGCGTGCGGTTGAGAAGCATCTTGTACCTATGGCAGTTAAGATTTGTTCAGCACATGTGATCGAGATCTAATTTTTCAGCGAGCCATGCGGTTGTGAAACTTACAACAACACCATTGAGTTGACAACACAGCTTTCCCGGGCAGGTGCGGAGTGAGAGGCCCTGAGCGCTCAGGACCGTGTGCGGGGAAGGGCCCAGGGCGCTCAGGGCCGTGTGCGGGCAGGTGGGGAGTGAAGGGCCCGGGGCGCTCAGGGCCGTGTGCGGGCAGGTGGGGAGCGAGGGGCCCGGGCGCTCAGGACCATGTGCGGGCAGGTGGGGAGTGAGGGGCCCGGGGCGCTCAGGACCGTGTGCGGGGAAGGGCCCAGGGCGCTCAGGGCCGTGTGCGGGCAGGTGGGGAGTGAAGGGCCCGGGGCGCTCAGGGCCGTGTGCGGGCAGGTGGGGAGCGAGGGGCCCGGGCGCTCAGGACCATGTGCGGGCAGGTGGGGAGTGAGGGGCCCGGGGCGCTCAGGACCGTGTGCGGGGAAGGGCCCAGGGCGCTCAGGGCCGTGTGCGGGCAGGTGGGGAGTGAAGGGCCCGGGGCGCTCAGGGCCGTGTGCGGGCAGGTGGGGAGCGAGGGGCCCGGGCGCTCAGGACCATGTGNTCGTTGCGCGCGTGGCCCTCGTCGGCCGCGTGGTGGTACCTGTGCGAGGGGCAGCACGCGTCGGCGCACGCGGCCTCGCAGGCGTCGGGGAGCATCAGGAGGCAGTCCCAGAACTGGCAGAACAGGCAGGTGAGGACCAGGGAGGCGCACTCCTCTGCGGGAGGAAGAGGGGCAGTTAGAGC